AAAAGAGAAACACGTAAACTCAAATTCCTTCCATTTATCGTGCAGCCATTTCTATTCTTTGCTTATTCCAAATGTCAATGAAAAGACTAAGAGTCAAGAGCAGAGTTTAAACCTTAAGTCTGTTTCCCAGTCACACGCTGTGTTAGGCTGGACGCAAGTTTTATAGCATGTATCAGTTTACTGCGTAGACCTATTTTGATTCAGAGATATTACATCACATTCTTACTTGCAATTCATTTTATTTGGCCATGAATTTATACTATCCATCAATACCACTGAAGGTTAGGGTGAAAAAAAACAATGTACTCCAAAAGTGGGAGAATCTGTCACTACCGCTCGGTGCCGGAGGGCTCTCTGGCTTTGCTAGGAGCAGTGGACGTATTTCTGAGATAGGGCCCATTCCCGCAGGATGGAGCAGGTGCCCTGCACTGCCCAGCAGTGGCCTCTCGCATTGCAGAGCGGCAGCCGTACGCTTTCCAGGGGAGGAAAGATGCTGCCCGTGTTACAGATCCTGCAGGGACGGGACTTCCTACGGCTCTCGAGCGTCTACGGTTGTTCCAATACAAGAGCTGCCTCCCAGCAGAGATACATTATTGGATCCAGATGGCATTCTGAACACCAGGAATCTTTGCCAAAGGATCGAGCTTTCAAGGGAGAAGCTGTTTAACCACGACAGGGTAGTTGGAAGTATTTTGGGAAAATTAATAGCTACAGTTAAAAATATCAATTAAGAATCCAGTAACTCAGCACTAGGCCACCATATAAATAATTCCCAGCATGAATAAATATAATGAAGTTGCACAATCTACATGCTGCCATACTACATGTAGACTTTTCCAGATTATAGGCAAGCCCCTGTTTGCCCCTAGTCTGTGCATGCCTGCACCGAGGGCTACGTATTGCTGGATGTGTTCGGAGCAATCGGCCGGCTCACTGCTAGCAGGGCAGGGATTTGTGTCTGCCCGGTACCTGGGGCACGCACCCCTGCATGGATGAGGGGATGAGTTTGTGTTCAACCTTGCAGGAACTAAGCATATTCCTTGGTCAGGGATTAAGCTCTAAATATCTGACAATTCCCGCCTGTCCCCTCCTCATTGCCGTTCTGGTTTGCCACTACTAGCAAATCAACATGAAGCTCTGTCCCATAGGGTATCACACTAAGCTCTAAATATCTGACAATTCCCGCTTGTCCCCTCCTCATTGCCGCTCTGGTTTGCTACTACTGGCAAATCACTGAACACGAAGCTCTGTCCCATAGGGTATCACAGATACACTGCTCAACGTTTATATTTGGGAAGCTGCAAACCAGCTACGCTGCAACATGCAAACCTGGTTACTTTGCAGCTCCAGCACCAGTCGTTAGTGTCCTGTGAGCACCCTACTTTGCTCCCCAAAAGGAGAACAAGAATACGGATGTGGTGATACCGTTGGCAGTTCTGGGAAGGTTTTCACTGACAAGAGGCCCTCTGCACAGTGCTGTTGCTCGGCTCCTGTAACCAGCAGATCGTGTTGTAGACCTGGGACAACCAGCTACCTCTTTCCAGCCTTCACCTGTGACTTGTGCTCTTCCCCTGTCCTCTTCCCGCTTCCAATGCTCTGGCAGGCCTGGCAGAGCTGTGTGGGCAGAGCTAGAGGAGACTCCCAAGCAGCCTAACTTGTGGAAAAGGGGATCTGATCCTCAAAGTATTGCACTTCAGTAACACAAGCCTCTTCTTTAACAGAAGGTGATGAAAAGCAAGGCAATGCAAGCAGATCTATTTACACACCAAAAAAAAAGAATTTTAATTGGAGGAAAGTTTATTTACTCCTTATCTGAGACATCAGGGAAAATCAGGCTATTTCTTGGAACACCTTTGACCAGATAAAGACATTACAGTAAATGCTGGGTAGAGTAAGTACAGATTTTTGCATTCTTCAGAGAAGACTAAAATTGCTGAATGGGAAGAATGAACCAAAAAGGAAGTAACATTTGTTAAAATTTAATTTAATGTTTAAATACCATACTAGCCTGTTTCTTTCAGTAGTTTGTAAATACCTTGGAAAGTACTTTGTTGCATTGATATTTTTCTTTAACTAATGCATTTATATTGCACATTTTAGGTCAATTCTTAGAAGAACATTTCAATACATTTCAACAGTTGCATGAAAAGCAGATCAAATGATGCAGGTTAAAGCAGTTAAGACTAGAGAGAAAAATGCTAAATACTTCATGTTTTTTTTGAATAAATATCAAAATACTTATATTTCAAAATACTTATGTCAACAGCAATTCAACAGTATTTCCTGGCATTTTAACTCTCTTCCTCAGCAGCAAAAAGTATTCAAAACTCACTGCTAATGGGACTAACTACCAAGCTACTGTAGCCTAAAACTAAATAATATTTTTTTAAAAAGCAGATTATCTCTGATTTAAATGCAACAGTGAAGAAAACCAGCAGACACAGTAGTTTACCAAGAATAAACCATTCTTCATGAACCATGAACCAAGAATGAACCATTCTTCAGTCTTTACAAAAAAAAAGCAGTTTTGTATTAAATGATACTTTGGTAAGGAAGTTCTTCTCACTGAGATTATTTCAAGCAGAAATTAGTAATTGAAAATGCTCCTCAGTTTAACTTAGGACAGTTACCAGAGCTTTTCTTTTGGATTATCCAAGATGTTCTTCAATACATCTCTCTCCTGTGCAGATCTGTGAGGCCACCCTATGGCCCATATCCAAATCACGTCTTTAAACCATCTTGGCTTGAGTATAAAGCGGAAAGCCTGTATCAAAGCTAAATTTACTTCGTTGTTTAGAAAATCTCTGCAAAATTTCTTTCCTCCAAAAGGAAGGGACACGATAAATTCTAGCTGGTATTTAACACACTAGTGAAAAAAAAGACATTAGATGTAGGGGATGGGGTGAGTTTTCAAATAGCTTAAGTAGTAGTTTATCTTTGACTCCACCACTTCCTTTCCTTTTTTGATCAAATACTGATCTCTGCTCAACTTTAACTATACCAAGCCAAAAATACCAGGGTCTGTGTTTTATCCAGATTTTTCCCCAGAGCCCCTTGATAGGTTCTTTCACAGACTGACAGTACTTTAATTTGTGTTCCAAAAACCCCAAATTTCTACTTAGCCTTTTACCTTCCAGGCCTTACTGTAACCGCCCGCCTTTCTGGAGGGAATGACATCTGTGTGCTCTGGCAGAGAAAAACGGAAAAATGCATTCCTTGGTCTCTAAAAGACTACAAAGTGCTCTCCGAGCTGTGCAGGACGCAGACTTTGACACCACCTTCATGTTTACTTTGACCTTTTAGCAGAAAAATAGATCAAAACCGAGTCCCAGCCACTTTGCTCTGAACTGCAGCTTGCATTTGGTGGCTTATAAATACGCTC